TAAAAGCCTACATATTTTGCCTGCTTGTAAAATATATTTTTTCTGAAGTTTTTTTCTTTTATTTAACTACCTCCTTTTCTTCAGGACGAAGAATAGTTCTTTTTTGCTTCTTTTTTTTCGTTCTTTCAGTATTATTCTTTTTTTAAACGGGTACACAAATTAAAATTTACAGGAATGGTTCATCGCCCGATACTGTTGCGCCTTTCGCGATAAAGAATTATTCATAGCGTGTCAAAGTATTCCTTTTCATTTTCAATGATAAGAACAAAATTAAGCCGAACAAAACGATAGCATATAAAACTTAACTTTATATTTGATATTACAGTACTGGCAAATGTTCTCATGAGTTCAATTCATTAGTTCCATCATTTCAGATCTTTACTGTTAGTACTTGCCATGCTATACTCGCGGAGTCGAAACACCTTCATTTCCTCCGTATTTTATATATAAGTAAGAAGTTCCTCTCAGAGAGCCTTTGCCGAGAACCGTTGCTGTGTAGAATAAAGTCTCTCGTGGATGCTTCTATGAACTCCACAATCTTAACCTCTTCAAGTCAATAGCTATCTATTCTTGTTATCCTCACAATCTATATTTTCTTCTATCTCCTTTTATGTTTATATAACACACCTCATTCTGTAACCCCCTGATTGGCATATAGACTTTGTATTTGGCGAATTTTAGTATTATTTAGCATTGGTTATGATCAAAGCTTATCCGGTAAATTACTCGAAATCAATTGCTCGAAAAATAATTTCTCGAACTATCAATTGCTCGAAAGGCAGTTTGCTCGAAACCTGTGGTTAAAAAAACTAAAACTACATTGTTTCTAATATTTACTATAAGATCAAATAATACAACTTTATTGTTGTTAACTGAACAATTAAAATTAAAGAACGAGTACATTTATATCGCAAGTCTTATTTTTGTCCTCAAAAGGCAGTTTGCTCGAAATCTGTGCTTAAAAAAATAAAACACGTGCTAAGGATTTCCTTTTTTTTGCACATTTCACATTTCCAGTAAATCGTATTGCTCACTGTTTTGTCCTTAATATATAGATATCCATCCCAGACACAATTTCTTTTTCGCTCTCAACAAAAGTTATGTCCTTCACTAGGGTTCAAGATTTCCAAAATTACTGAAATAGAAATAGAAAACAAATATAGAAAAAATAAATCAGGAAAATAGTCAGTAGTATTGTAGGTTAATTCAATACCAACAATAGAGAATCCAATGGTGAGTATTAACAATTAAAGGAATACTGTAAGACAAGTTTAATGACAATAGATATGGTTGCTATGGGAAGAAAGAGAGAACTACGCGTACAGAGATTAGCCTTGCCACCGTGTGTTGAGCCAGCCAAGAGAGAAAGTCCAAGAAGACTGACTACTAAAGTGTTGTGGCTCATTTTATATCCACCTCCGTTGACGCGTCTTGAGACGGCGCAGTTTACGTGGTGTTTCGAGCTTCGAAATTACTTTGAGCAATCTGCCTTTCGAGCAATTGATAGTTCGATAAATTATTTTTCGAGCAATTGATTTCCAGCAATTTACTGTGGAGTAATTGATTTCGAACAATTTACCGAGATCCTGATCAAGTTGTAGTTTCTGTTCCACTTCCTCTGTATTGTTCCTATACTCCAGTGCAAGATATCGGAGCTGTGTTTCGGTTTTCGGGCAGGTTATGTCGAAACGAAACCTCGTCATGTGAAATCCAACTTGCCACACCACCTCGCCCATTGCAAGATATCAAAAAAACCAAGAACCTATACTGGCGTGACTAAAGACGGAGGTTCTGAGGTTGGATGTACTCTGACGATTGCACTAAAGAATGAGCAATGGTGAGAGGAAAAGATCATTCAAGCCTTCTGTAATGGCTCGAACATTCATACACTGGCTTCCATCTTCATAGTCAATTCAAGAGCTATCAAGACACAACGGCCGAGACGTTGAAATAAATATGACGACAAAGATGAGGACAATAGTTCGAATAATGTAAATATTGTTACAGCAAATTATGTATATTATATGTGAACTTTCACAAAATAAGACAAGAGGCATCTAACTGCCTTGACGATCAGAGACAAGCACCTGACCTCTCTCCCGATCTATTATTAACTTCCCGTTCTCATTCAATGTCTCTAAAACAAACTGGTTACATTCCATTAAACCCCGAACTACTGCCCGTCACGATGAACGGATGTCCCCTCGAGAAGGCACCGTGTCTTGAGAGAATATTGGGTAAACTCTCATCCGAACTCACGTGGAACTCTTATATACAGTTTATCACTAAAGATTCAGGTAAAATGATCGCGCTAGTAAGTACCTGACTCCTCATACTATCCTCTACCTTCATAAGAGACAGATCAGGGCGAAAATGGAGTACTGCTGTTATATTTGGACGGGAGCTGCCTAGTCCTCCCTTTCAAGTCTTGGCAGAGTTAAAAAGCGTCTCCGAGTCCTCTTTGGAGAAGAAGTATTTTCCCCCCTCCAACCCTTCTCTCACAGATGGGATGTGGCGAATCTCTCACTGCTCTGTCACAACTTCCATGGTAAGTGCTCGGATGAACTACATTCCTTGGTTCCGCCTGGTCTAATCTTCACAGCCAGGACCCACCATTCCATTTACATAGTAGAAAAGCACCCACATTCCCTCTGTATTCCATGACCTCTAGTAAGTATATCCACACAAGTATGAATATAAACAAAAGCTGAGTATAATCTACCATGTATTCAATTGTGAAAACAAAATAACATATATTTCTATTACTTCAATGCTCCCAAGAATATTAAATTTCGTCATCAAATGACCCATAAGGTGCTGATATGCTGTTAAGTGACTCAATTAATAAATCAACTTAACTACGTTTAGCTTATATAGATGTTGTTTGCAAATTATGGATCGAAAATATCCGATCGTTGCATTAAAATTCTGATCATTATAACTAAAGGTATATACAGGTAAATCATCTTGGATATGATGAACTTCATCCTGTAGCGAAGCCTCTGATCAGGAGGCTTTGAGGAGGGGAGAACCACCACTTAATTGGTGTTCTTCCCAGGCCCACCCTGCCTCAGGGGTAACAGCACCTGTTAATGTCCTACCTATGCGAAATAGTTAACCCCCAAACTGGGTTCACAATACTATGAAAGTATAAAAATACATTTTTATAGTAAAAATACGAACAATACATTTTCATAGTAAAAATATTACTAGCAACACATTTTAAAAAGAATGACCCATAAGAAGTTGATATGCCATTAAACAGACATATACAGATGTACGAAAGTAAGATAAGTAATTTCCGTTTCTGAAGAACCAATTTTATTAACGAATGCATCATACTAACTGCTACTCATATGTGGCAGTTAAAAATATATTTGAAGTAAACTAACGCATTTTTATTTTTGCGCAGAGGGGCAGCACACATAGTGGATTAAAGGAAAAAAATATAGTTCCACTCCTATAAATCAATGAAGGAAAAGATTCATATTTAATAATTATATTTAATAATATATTTAATATACAATTTATATTTAAATTTATATTTATTATTATATATTATTATATATTATTAAATTATTATATATTATAAAATATTATTTATTATATATATATATATATATATATATATATATATATATATATATATATTAAAATTTCATAATGTGTGACGTCATTTGTTTACATTTGATACGCCATGAGCAGATATGAATGTACGTGTGAGATTCATAGAAGATTGAAGTTCAAATACAGTAAATTCGACCTTTCTGACCGAACGCGTCTCTGTGGCTCAATCGGTAAATGCACGTCAAGCTAAATGACGATTCCGTATAGGATGCAGGTTCGAATCCTGTCGGAGGACGAATATTTTCTGTGAAAATTTCTCGGACATTCAGGTCGGTAAATCTTGTTTAATACTGTTTATTATAAACAGAGCTTTTACTTAAATATTTGTATCTATAAAAAGCATATATTATTATCTATATATTATTAAATATTATGTTTATATTTAATATATAATTTATACTTAAATTTATATTTGATTTTTATTTAATAATTATATTCAATAATGAAAGGAAAAAAACTTATGATTAAAAGAAAAGGCAAAGCTTTAGGCAGCAAGTATAACGAAGAAAAACAGTCTTGAAAAACAGTTGGTCTATTCTAGCCTACGCGCCATATTAACAACCGGTTATTACCTTTTACAAAACGCTTTGATAGAAAAAAAAACTTTCTCTAGTGAAAAACCAGTATCAAGTGTTGGTCGAAAACCTTTTCACATTAAAACCTACGAAATTTTACTCAAAAAATATCGAAGAGATTCTTGATACGTGACAACAAGTCATTAAAAATAATAATGGATTTGTAACTAAATAACATTTAACTGCACTTTATTTTTTTGAGAATAAAAATGTGATGTAATAAATATGCATACACCTGGGTCCCCCCCTCATAGTAATATGATTGGCTGATGTCAGCAATAAATACAGACTGATGTGAATGTACAAGAGGACGCCTATTAGCTACGCCTATAGTCTTCGCCTATTGACTACGCCTATTGCCTACCAATACGACGAGGACCAGTCCATTACGGTTACCTGCTAGATTGTCCTACTCGGTTACAGTACCGAACAACCCCTTTGCTACTTCGAACAAATATTTCCCTTTCCGGGACATATCAGAATTATTTATAACTCAACCTAATTGTCAAGCAAAATGTTGGTAGTTTGAATAACACTAAATCACGCAAAGTCTATCAGACTACTGTAGCTAATTTTATCCTTACAGAGTACCCCACACGTGTAGAATGATTTCAAAAAGTGTTTCATCAGCAGTTGTATCATATAGATCCAGATAAAAGCATCGCGGTTGGTATGAAAATGTTGTAATAGAGTCAGTTCATAGACTGTGAAAATTCACACGCATGTATATGATAATAATGTCCTGTTGTAATAGACAAAACCTCACATAATGGTTTTTTTTTGCGGGAGAATCAGACGATGTTTTATATTAGCCATTACGACATTATTCAACATATACCTACAACATTTTATAGATCATCTATCCAGCGTAAAATCGAACCTGCATTTTGATGCCAGCTTTTCAAATGATGATAAGATACTGCTTTCACAAATATTTACAAAACGGAAACTGCTTGCAAAAGAACAGAAAAAAAAGCTTCCATGAAATGGGAACTGAAAACAAATCCAGACAAATATGAAGTAATAACAGACAAAAATGATAACATTACGATAGAACGTGAAAATGTTGAAAATGTTGAAAATATCTTCAGGGTCAGTTTTTTAAGCATTCCACCCCAAGCAAGGCGGTGTTCCACTAGCAGGCTAGGGGTTATAGAGAGTGAGTAAGAGAAGAGTAAAAATGGGTGTCCTAGGAAAGGACATAGACAAGGACGGGGATAAAGATCAAAGCATCAGAAGATGTCGATTGCCATTACATTTGAGTATTTTAAGATTATAACTATCAAGAATTCAAGTAAGAGGAAGGGAGTTACACTGTCGGGAAGTGAGAGAGAAGAAGCGGTTGGAGTAGAAGAAGTAGTTACATTTAACTGTTTCGTCAACCTAGCAGCACGTTTAAATTCATGCAGTTGGGGTACTCGTGAAAGTAGCTCGTCAGAGCAGTTGCCATTGAAATATTTGTAGAAAAAGCAGAGGGAAGCCACATTACGTCTGTGAGAAAGTGACTGTAGACGAGATGCCAGATCAGGACCTGTCACATTGCATATCCGTCTCTGGACATTTTCGAGGACCTCGAGATGAACAGCGGTGGCACCAGACCGTATATGGAAGCAGTATTCAATTCAAGGATGAATGGTAGATTTATAGATATGAAGGATGGACTCAGGCGAGAACGAATGATGTAAACCAAAGAAGTGCATTTACATTAATTGATTTTCGGAAGACTAAAGCCAAAAATCTCGAACATAAAAAAGCATCTCTATCCATAAAAGGCAGGGTGTGTGTGTGTAACGAATGCACGGCCTCAATTTTCGACGGATTTGCACCAAAACTTATATGCACATGCTCCAAGTTAGCGAGAAGGCCAAGACCGACTTTGCATTTCCCAACTCCCATCGATAGTGGAAATAATCGATTTTTTCATGCTTCTACGGCAGTTTTTATGTAGTTTGCGGACATTTTTACTGACCAGAGTGAGAGCCTATAGCTGGCTGCCACGAATAGGCAAGAAGATTCTATTGGCCAGCGTGTGAGCCAACAGATGACTGACACGAATTTTAACTAGCATACTAGCATGCAAAAAAAAAATCGATAGCTGCATTCGTCAAAAGTGGGAAAAATTTAAATTTGCATGGCACTTTACTCCAATTGGCTCATTCGCTTGTTTAAATTCAACGTTGATTCTGATTCCACAGAACTGGGTTTGGTGTGAAAAAGTATTTGTTGTTAACATTCTTTTTTCATTCGGCTTTTCCAGTTACGAGTCCTTTTTTAAAGCTGATCGTTTTGTGTTCATTTTGTTTAGTTCTTTTTTCTTAACAGATCTAATGTTTAGTTTAGAGCTTAGAAAAAATTCGCAGTGTGAGATAGGCAAGAAGTAAGGCATGTAGCAACATCAGCACGGAAAAGGGCACTCTTTTAAAAGCAAGAAAGGGCAAAAATATTTTAAGTCAAGTGATAGCGATTGCTGTATGAATCGTACGATTTTTTAATCAAGCACGGGCAACGCCTGGCCGTGCTGCTAGTTATATACTAATTTAAGTTCCTCTATGATCTCAACATTATCATATCAATTTATATTTTTGAAAACTGGACACTGAGAAAAGAAGAGCTATAAATTTCTTCGTCTTTGAAAACAACTGTCTCAGGGCCGGGAAAGCTATCAGAGACAGAAAGACAATGGCTGCTCTAAAGAGAAGGATTAAACGTAAAGACTGATACAACTAGAGTCCGTCTGAAATTATTATGCAAATCACATAAACCTCAATAACCTGAAATTGTTTTGAAAAATTTAAAAACCAATTAATTAGACGGTAAGCCAATGCTTTAGTTAAATTTTTAAATATTTTCGGCATGTTTTATTAAAGTTGTTGGATTTATTACAAAAACTGCTCTTAGAAGTAATTATTGAACTCACACTCTTTGGAACCTGTCACTGAATCTAACTAACGCCTTTATCCACTGTGCCATGCGTCCTCAAGGACAAAGATTTACAGGAGGGAAGAGTGTGAGTTCAATACCCGGCTAAGGCAGTGGAGAATATTCAGAGAGAAATTAACAGGAGATAACTGATAACTGACATCCATTAAAATACGACGAAACTAGATGAACCACCTGAAGAAGGTCGGAGCGTACAATGGACGAAACGATATTCCAAAGAATAATAATGTAAATAGTCTACATAATACCTCATCTCAGAAATATAGACAGATACTATCTCACCAATAGTCCGAATAATGAAATATCTCAGAAATACAGATAGTGAAAGGCCAAAATGTTGTAATAAATATAGTGACGAAGATGAGGACAATATTCCGAAAATGTTGTAATAAATATAGACAGATAGTGAAAGGCCGAAATGTTGTAATAAATATGGCGACAAAGATGAGGACAATAGTCCGAATAATGTAAATAGTGTATATAATACCTCATCTCAGAAATATAGACAGATACAAAAAAATTCACGCTGGGTACTATATACCCATGGTTAGGGTTCTAGGGTTAAGGTTTATGTACTGTAGATTGATTAGAAAAAAAGACTAAACTTGTTTGACTAGTTAATCAAAAGAGGAAAACATTGCTTTGTGTATAGATCCTTCAAATACAACTTCCTTGGAAAAGCCCATGTGTTAGGCCACCTAAGATCAAATTAGAGAGGAAACCGGAATACCGCTTCTGTTTCTTGAAAGGTTACATTAGACAGGAAGGCATGGTAAAGTTGTTTAGGTACAAAGTGCGCAAAGATCTCTTTGGTATGATGCAACTAAAAAGGGATGAAAAGGACACATTGAGTATTGTGCCATACTTGTTAGCTTCGTAAAAATCGATATAAAGTTTTCCGTGAACTTTTAAGAAGTTGCAGGAAAATTATCCTAAATAAACTTTATTTGTTGACCACAGACGAATCGAAGACATCTTTCGGAAGTATTTAAACGCTATGAATAATTTTGTGACAAAATGAATTGTGATATCGAAAAAAAAAATATATAAAAACATAAATCTATGTAAAAGGTTGACTTCAAAAGATATGACGTTCCGAATTTTTGGCATTTTTCTTTTTGTCGATACAATAGAACGAGAGGGAAAACAGTTCGTTTTAATATGCGAATGTGGAGAATATTGATTCGTGATTAATTAAGGATTTTAATTAGGAATCTCAGAAGAACATTTCTAAAGTCATGTGACGTTGAAAATTAATTGACAGCATTTTTTTTACTTCAAGTGCTGTTCTGTATACAAAAGTGTGCCATAGACATTTCTCGGTAAATTTTTCTTTTTACTAATTAAATTTATTAATTTATTCTTTCTTGAGCTTTCCTTTTTACTCTCTTTACATTCATTGATCGATTTTCTGATTTTTCCTTTCTTTGTTCTAATTCATTCTATCATTCTTTCTTTCTTTTTCTTTCTTATTTTTTCTTCTTTCTTTCCTTCCTTCATTTACCTCATACAGCTATATTCTTTATGATGTTTTTCGAAAATTCTTTTTTTCCCAATTTCATTCTTTCTTTTACTCTCGTATTTTGTTTTTTTTTTTAATTTTCGGATGTATTTTATTTCCTTCTTTTAATTCTTCATCTAATTTTTTCTTTCTTTCATCTTTCTTTCTTTCTTTTACTTTATGCATCTAGTTTCAGTTTTGATTTATTTCGTACAGTCTTTCTTTCAAATTTTATTCTTTCTTTTACTCTCGCATTTTTATTACCTTTTATATTTTCAGATTTATTTTCTTTCTTTTTAATTCTTCATCTAATTTTTTCTTTCTTTCTCTTTTCTTTCTTTCTTTCTTTTTTATTTTTATTTCATACATATTTTCTTTTTGATTTATATCGTACAGTCTTTCTTTAATATTTCATTCTTTCTTTTACTCTCGAATTTTTATTGACTTATATTTTCGGATTTATTTTTTTTCCTTTTAATTCTTCATCTAATTATTTCTTTCTTTCTCTTTCTTTCTTTCTTTCTTTCTTTTATTCTTTCTTTCTTACTTATTTTTACTTCATACATCGATTTTCTTTTTGATTTATTTCGTACAGTCTTTCTTTCAAATTACATTCTTTCTTTTACTTTCACATTTTTATTGACTTTCATATTTTTGGATTTATTCTCTTTCCTTCTTTTAATTCTTCATCTATTTTCTTCCTTTCTTTTTCTTTGTCTTTTTTCTTTCTTTTTTTATTTTTACTTCATACATCTATTTTCTTTTTGATTTATTTTGTACAGTCTTTCTTTCATATTTTATTCTTTTACTCTCGCATTTTTATTGCCTTTTATATTTTCGGATGTATTTCCTTTCTTTTAATTCTTCCTTCCTTCCTTCCATTCTCAAATGAATCGCACATTATTGTCTAGCACTGGTGACCAGCACGTACCAATTTCAGTGTAAAGAATAAAAGCTGTCTAAATTTAAAGCGTCTAAGACCATAAAGAATGTATAAGTCTTTTAATTGGAAAGAGGTGTAACTTTTCAAAGGTTCTGCCTTCCGAAAAGAAGGTTTTGTATAAAGAACGACTGAGATTTTCTTTGTTTAGCTTTCGTATATTGAATGTCACTCACCTGAAGATTTCTTTAAAAATAAAAGACCTGCAAAGCGAGACGAATAAATTTGAAATTGATAAAACGAATCTTTGAAAATGACCGAACAGAAAAACAAAAAAAAAAAAAAAGAGAAAAAAAGAAAAGAAATTAGAATCATTGCTGATGCCAGCGAACACTAAAGCGATTCATTTTGAACTTTATTAATAGACTTTGTTTTTGAGTGTTTCAAATGGTAACCGGAGCAAGTGATTCGTGTTTTCTTTAAGCCGCTTTTAACCTGAAGAAGAAAAACAAGAAAATGAAAAATAGTATAGCATGTAATTCTGAAAGAAAATATTGTTCTGAATAGTGAAAACCTGAAAGACATCTTTTGACACGTATATTCAATTTCGTCATTAGGTGGTTCAAACACAGCGTAGATTGATGGTTGCATATATAGAAAGGTTCAAGTCATCTGAAGAGAGCGTGAGCGTAAAACTCGGATTAGGAATAGGACCATACTTTCAATCGTTTTTGATCTAGGTAAACTAGGCATCGAGCACTTTAATTTACCAATGAAGTAAGCGTTTGCCGTTAGGTCTTTTTCCCTTTTTCTTGTTGTTGTCCCTGTTTCTGTTTATATATATATATATATATATATATATATATATATATATATATATATATATATGTATGTATGTATCTCCACTACCGAGAATCGAACCCAAACCGTCAGGTAACAACACCACTGAGGCCCGTTGGTCCAGTTGTATGACGCTTGCGTTGTATCGAAACGGTTCGAATCTCGGTAGTAGATGCGCACTGCTGATGAGTCCCAAAATAGGACGAAACGGCCGTCCACAGCTTTCTGTGAAGATGGAAGATATCTCTTATCGGCGTCTCTAAAGAAATAGAACCAGCACAACGAATAGCATTAATATCGTCCAAATAGACAAGTGTAATTATATTAATAATAAATATCAAGTAACAATGAAATTGTTTTCTTTTTGCTTTTTACTGACTGGGGATTATGAGAACGCAATTTGAAAGGGATGGTAAGAAGGGTTAGAAAGCCGGGGCTGCCCACCCCTTCCTCCTTGATATCAACTCTATGATATCTAGTGGCATATCCCTTAATTCTTAATTTGGGGCAAAAGCCGGCGTTAAGATGAATTTGCCGGTCTTAAAATGGCCGAATTCAATAACTTTCTAATAAAATTTATATTTTTCATTTAATTTAGTATATTTTCTATTTATTTTCTGGGATGTCTTCCAACCGTTGCTTGAATGTATGTATATATATATATATATATATATATATATATATATATATATATATATATATTAAGACATGTTTCGTTGAACAGTTTAGATATATTCTGTCTACTCATTTTCGTTAAGATTCTTTTAAAGATTTGGATGTCATTACTGAATGACGAGAGAAAATCGCCATGTTTATATATATATTTGTTTAATTATTAATTTAATTTTCGTATAGCATAATAATTTGCCTCGGAAATAACGGATACTACTCTATTCATTTTATTATAAATGATATCCTGATGCTGACATGGATATGTCGAAAGTACTTGATAATAAAACAAATCTGTATAAACACGGCGATCGATGAGGCGTCCCTTTGACTTTTCTACAATTATTTTCATGACAACTGCTCTGACAAGCTTTTTGGCATATAGGTCCCACCATTTTACTGCTGAAATAGTTAAATATAACCGCCACTTCTACCCCGACAGTGTCCTTTCTCGCATTTCCCGACTTACTTACTTCCCTGATTTCTACAAACTTCAAAAATTTAAATACAACGTCAATCTCCATCTTCAGTTTTCTTCAACCCCGTTCATCTTTTATCCTTTCCTCAATCCCCCCCTTATACCCAGTCTTTTCTCTCCTTTTCACTCTCTTTAATCTCCTGCATACTAGTGGTATTTCCGCCATGCTTTGGGTGCAATGCATATATATATATATATATATATATATATATATATATATATATATATCCAGGTAAGATGGGAATGAACAGAGTACGATTCCAAGGTTCATAATATTTAATTTTAAAGAGGGCTCAATACAAAGTATAGGAATATTATTTATTTTAGGATATTACATCGAAAACATGTCCAATCGCTAAACAACTGCAGGTGTGTTTCGATTCGTATACATGCATCTCATCAGGCGATTGTAAATTACTGGCGAATGAACGAGTTAATCAGATTTAAAAGCAAAATACAGCCTCTATATACAAAAAAAATCCTATAATTTCTACAATTACATTGGCCAGTATCGTTAGCATATTCTCCTTCTGATTTAGAATATTAAATTGATTTAGATACATAATACAAGTTCCAAGGAGAATATTGTTAAGGATACTGGCCAATGTAATTGTAGGTATCAGTACCAATGCACATTGTCAAAAAAATGTTTAACTAAATTTCTTGTTTATCTTTATTCTTTCTTTAGAGTGGAAAATCCGACGGTTGAAAAGTTTTAGATTGGTAGTACAAAGAATTATTTCAAGACTAAGTGTTATCAACATATATTGTCCTATACTAATAATACTTATAGAAATATTACATCACTTTTTAAATATTTTTAGAGTTTGAAAGACTATAATAAATCTCTTACGGTGAAAATGGAAAATTTAGAAAAAATGGCAAGAAACCTGTTTTTTGTGCTTACATGAAGAATTGCAAATTATCAGATTCTTTGATAAGAATGCTTTATTAACTTAAACCAAAGTGTACTTTTTACCTTACAATTTAGTTAGATTTGGAAGTTGACAATGCTTTTTCTTAGATTTTAGTTGAACTGTGTTGCACCATACATGGCTTAGCTTTCTGTCGGTATTAATATAGATTTAATATAATTTTGTATTAATCTCTTGGTAGTGTTGCACGGATGTATTGGTATTTGATTAGTATTTTGACATTTTACATTGAGTGGTACTTTTTATTAACACCTTATATAAAGAATCTTTAGTCAACATTGCAAATTAATTTATCAAGTAAATCTATAGATTTAAATCATTTACTGGTTTCTTAAAGAAGCTACTTATTTATCTACTAAAACTCGTTTTTATGTAGGAAATTCACAAAATATATAAACTGACTTGCATTTTGTTTGATTACAAGTTCATTTTTCTTAGGAAATGACATCGTTTAAATGTTCAATTTGTATCCATTCAACTCTGCTCCTGATTAAAGTCTATTGCTGTCGTTGATTTTAAAACTACGGGTCATGTTCCATTTATCTCGGTCTGTCCGGATCTATCCATCTATGTCAGTCTGTTCAGATCTATGAATCTATGTATGTCAGTCTGTACAGATATATTCATCTATCTGTCTATTTCGGTCTGTTCAGATCTATCTATCTATCTATCTATCTATCTATCTATCTATCTATCTATCTATCTATCTCGGTGTGTTCAGATCTATCCATCTATCTCAGTCTGTCCAGATCTATCCATCTATCTATCTTGGTCTGTCCAGATCTATCCCTTTATGTCAGTCTGTTCAGATCTATACATCAATCTATCTCAGTCTGTCCTAGATCTATTCATCTATCTATCTCGGTCTGTCCCGATCTATCCATCGATCTGTCGGTCTGTTCAGATCTATTCATCTATCTATGTTGGTCTGTCCAGATCTATTTATCTATCTATCTTGGTCTGTCCAGATCTATTTATCTATCTATCTTTGTCTGTTCAGATTTATCCATCTATCTCTCTCAGTTTGTCCAGATCTATCCATCTATTTATTTTAGTCTGTCCAGATCTATCCATCTATATCAGTCTATTCAGATCTATCCACCTATGTCAGTCTATTCAGATCTATCCACCTATGTCAGTCTGTTCGGATCTATCCATCTATGTCAGTCTGTCCAGATCTATCCAGCTATCTCGGTCTGTTCAGGTCTATCCATCTATCTTTCTCAGTCTGTTCAGATCTATCCATCTATCTATTTCGGTCTGTCCAGATCTATCCATCTTTATAATCAGATTTATCCATCAATCACTATATAAGAATATATTTCTGAAAAAATATTAATCTTTAAAAAATTTTTAAATCGGGAGAAATGAACACAAACTGTTTTGCAGTAAAGTATCTAAGACAGGAAATAAAAATTAGGCTCATTTGTATCAAAATAACTTGATTGATTTACTGAATGAAAATAACTGACCTAAAATTAAACAATGAAACAAGGTATAGATGATTTTTTACTCTTGTCTAAATTATTCAGTAACTTTTTCTTTCATTTGCCATTCATCATTCATTTCTAAATAAATTTTTATCATTTCAACTCCTTGAATATAATGCGAAGATGCATTCATTTCAATCCACATAACATTTCAACATTTCAATTTTATAATCTGGGGCTGTCCATATCTATCTATCTATCTCGGTGTGATCTGATCAATCCATCTATCTCAGTTTGACCAGCTCTTTCCATCTATCTATGTCGATCTATCCAGATCTATCTATCTATCTATCTATCTATCTATCTATCTATCTATCTATCTATCTATCTCGGTCTGATTTGATTAATCCGTCTATCTCAGTTTGACCAGCTCTTTCCCTCTATGTATCTCAGTCTGTAGATATCTATCTATCTATCTATCTATCTATCTATCTATCTATCTATCTATCTAACTTGGTCTGATCTGATCAATCCATGTAAAAAAATATTGAAGTAACTAATACTCGAAGTAAAAATGAGGTTCATTTGTATCATCATAACATGTCAGATTTATAGATTGAAAAAAAAACGACCTAAAAATCAAACAATTAAATAATGTACAGATATTTTTACTCTTGTCTAAATTATTCAGTAATTTTTTCCTTTCATTTGCCATTCATCTTCTAAATAAATTTCTATCGTTTCAACTCTTCGGATATAAGGAAGTTACGTTCATTTCAATCCTCATATTATTTCAACATATAGTGAAAATGGAGGAACATGATAAGTATTACCTTATTTTATGCATTTTCCTCAGTACCAAAAAAAAACTGTTGCGTACTGTTGATACAGATGATTATATGGCTAGGAGGGCGTGTTCGTAAATAGTTCGCTAGATTCAGAAGTGGAAATTTTGATCTGAAATATTGCGAACATGTCTACAGTCGTTGATGATAATCTAATCGAACTGCTGATTAAAAATAATCCAGGTAAAAAATAAATTACGGCATATCGCAAAGATATTTCACATATGTCATATGAACATTGTAAGGCATTTGAAAAAAAATATGGATACGTGACTGGCTACAATATTTGCATGTTTCAAACTGGTGTTGCTCTTAGATGATAATGCATGACCACATATTACGAGAATCACTCGGGAAAAGGTTATGGCACAAAATATTGAAGTTTTGTCTTATTCCTTTTACCCTCATCACCTTGCTCCATCTGTTATTTTTATTCTGTCCTGGGTAAGACGTTGAACTACATCCGCGTCCTGGCTAGAACGATAGACTTGATCCAGCAGCAAGGCCACTGATCAGGAGGTTTTAAAGAGCGTGGAACCACTCCTTAATTGCTGGTGTTCCCAGGTCCGCCCTGACCCGGGGTGGTAGCACTTGGTAGGGTCCCAGTTATGGGTAAATAGTTAACTATAACCAGCAATACCAAGAAAAAAATATTACAAGCAATACTTTTTTTTTGACGAAAAAAATATTACCAAATAAAAAATGTTGTCACATTAAATAACCCATTGACGGATAAAAAACAAAATAAACCAAACCAATCTAAATCAAAGAAACATATTCAATTCATACGAATCTTTCCTATAAATGTTTTTAAATAAGCCATTGAGGTTGATATGCCGTAAAACAAAATAAACCAAACCAATCAAAATCAAAGAATACATATTCTATTCATACGAATCATTCCTATAAATGTTGTCGACATTAAATAACCCATTGAGGTTGATAAGCCGTAAAACAAAATAAACCAAACCAATCTAAATCAAAGAATACATATTCTATTCATACGAATCTTTCCTATAAATGTTGTCGGCATTAAATAAGCCATTGAGGTTGATATGCCGTAAAACAAAATAAACCAAACCAATCTAAATCAAAGAATACATATTCTATTCATACGAATCTTTCCTATAAATGTTGTCGGCATTAAATAAGCCATTGAGGTTGATATGCCGTAAAAAAAAAATAAACCAAACCAATCTAAATCAAATTCATACGAATCTTTCCTAAAAATGTTGTCGGCATTAAATAAGCCATTGAGGTTGATATTCATACGAAACCAATCTAAATCAAAGAATACATATTCTATTCATAAAATAAATGTTGTCGACATTAAATAACCCATTGAGGTTGATAAGCCGTAAAACAAAATAAACCAAACCAATCTAAATCAAAGAATACATATTCTATTCATACGAATCTTTCCTATAAATGTTGTAGACATTAAATAACCCATTGAAGTTGATATGCCGTAAACCAAAATAAACCAAACTAAACCAAACTGTTATTATTTTTTAGATAATTGCCATATTTTTACTGTGAAAAAGCTTTATTTATTGTGTAGATATTAAAACTAGTAGCTGCTATTAAGTGTTTCTTTGCATCAAAACCTTATGAATGATACGCCGAATGGATAAATAATTTGTCAAATAGATGAAGTTATATTGCCAATAATGTGAGAATACATTATTGAATATATCAATTAAGACAACAGAAGCATTTGATTCTGTAGTAGTTGCTATTTGTATGATCTTCTGAGTGATCACGTAATGCGGTTAATGTTTATCTGGTTAGATACAGCACGCCATCAATGATTGAGATTACTTCTTCAATGGTTTCTGTTGTAAAGGCAAATTAGACGCATCAATAATCTTTTATTTTAAATCTTTTTCAACGAGGTAATATGGCTTGCCCTTAGGCTCGAGTAATTCGAGCTTTAGCTTACTCCATTGCATTCAGTCCTTCCAAGGGATGCAATGTCGAAAGCTTAGCACTACTTTATTGTTATTTCCATGGCAAATGTTCAGAAGAGATTCATTCTTTAGTTTCACCAGTTATTTTATAGCTAGAAGACGAATTACATTAATTCTCCCCATATATCATTTGTAAAGAGGAAGTCCCATTCAAATAACCTCTTTCTAAGAAATGATAATTCATCGAATAAATTTCAGAATGATTATTTCCTTAACGCCTTCAAGTCAAGGGTCAATCGTTATTTCTCCTCGTTTATTTTTTCCGCTCCCTTTTATAAAAATTATTCAGTAACACTCTACCTTGTATTTGGTGAACTTTAGTATAAAATGGTTTTACAAAGGAAATATTTAATTTGTTCATTTGAAATTTGTGTAGTTTCTAGAAGAAAATCACAACCGTGTCCTTAATATAATTTCATCCTTGTTTCGATTCATGCACACTGGGTCTTTTGAGTAAAGCATCTGCAGTCAGGGTCTGGAAATCATGCATCTTTATTTTGGAGTTCCACTGTCTCTCCCTTGAAAAGTTCTGGTTTGAAAGTTTCATCCATGGTATCAGACCGAAAAACAATATCAGCTGTTAAGTCAATAATATTTGCGGAAGCAGAATTGTATCCAGGTCAAGCTGTCTTTCTTCATGCAACAACAAGAACATTAATGTAGATAGACACGTTTTTAAAATGGTTAAGCTCAAACATGTTTTAACAATGCAATTAGAGGAATTTCCATTAGCAAATTAAGAATTATGATTCACCATAAAATTCAAAAGAAATATCATGACATTTTCACGGGTACTTATTTTCAACAATTTCAAGAATAACACGTATCAGCATGAAAGTGAAGATTCATTGGCCATTTCCTGTCTAGCACCGACTAATTTTAAAGATTTATATTCTTTGACTCACACAAGAAAATAACATATAGTACGAATTAAATATCAATAAGGGGCATTCGTTCTGGACCTGGACGGGTTGACCTGCGATGGCCCCAATATGATATCACCTCAGATAGATTTCGCATTGTGATACACCTGAGCGTCGGAGAAGAAACGTACGTGAGTGGATTGACCAGGAAGAAAATCTTTTAGCCACCAAGTACAGATTCAGAGCATCACTTTGATCGAGCTGACAACAGTTGGTCGAGCGAGTTGCGCTTAGGGATTACACACGTAAGACAGGTCAATATATAAGCGCTTAGTATTTTACATGCCCTAAGGATAGGAAAACTTCAGGTTCGGGAATAAACCCCAAAGCCACCTTCTCACTTAACTGATGCACTTAGGATTTGAATACGTAATAATTTTTCTTATGAGAGATTTCATCTAGCGTTCTGATTAATCTGAACAACTAGAATATTACAAATTGACGCCATTCAAATTTCGCCTGTATATCACGAGCGCAGCAACGTTTGGACATTTGAATCTAACTTCTACTTTCCAGGTTTCCTCTGTAACTTTTATACTTACTCTAGCCCTAGACAACATCCTATACCTTAAACACTTTATAAAATCATTGAAAGGGACTTAACTGAATGAGGATTTCTATTATTGCAGTATTGTGTGAGAAGAATGGTGCGTTATATTTCATTTAATATTATCAATTTATTTTGTTTCTTTTCAAATTCTGCGCCCCTAAGAATTTGTTTCCCCGATTTATCGCCACGGTGGCACAATATATTTTCTTTGTTTTTACGCCATGACACACACACACACACACACACACACACACACACACACACACACACACATATATATATATATATATATATATATATATATATATATATATATATATATGTACGGGTGGGGAAACAGTTATTTGTACACATACACATTTTTAATTTATTGTATTTCCAACTAATGAATAAACATACTTTTCATATAATTAACTGTACACAGATCCATAATACCTGAATATGCATAGAGAAAAAGAATAAAATTTGATTTAATAGAAATAAATCCCATTCATAAATTTTAATTGGTGAAAAAAGTATTCGTACAATGTAAATTTCAGATTTTAAAACATTTAAATTGCATTAATACTCTAGATTATTCAAGGGGAATCTTCTAGAATGTTCCAATAACGTTATTATCTTTAGCCTGAAAAATACAAACAGAACATTCTGTAATTGATATTCGTGCAAGAAGGTTAGCATCATGTCAAAAGATAAAGAATTGACAAATTGGCAAAAGGACTGATTATTAAGCTCTGGAACGAAGGTAATAGTTATAGAAAAAATTCTCCGACAATCTGAATATTCCATATACAACCATTAATTCATTTATTGCAAGGTATAAAACTCAAAACTGTTGAAAACCAATGGAGAGCATGTACTCCACGGAAGATTTTTTAAGATCTTCGAGGAAATTAATGCGTTAAATTAAACAAAATTCAATGGTTATTCATCAAGAGTTTCAGGATGATTTGCTTTCATCAGGAATCTCTGTCACTAAATGAACAGTAAGCAATGAAATCCATAGGGACAATTTAAAGTCACGCCTCCTCGAAAAATTCCACTTCCATTGAAAAAAAAAACACAAAGATGCCAGGTGGAAATTCGTTCATGAACATAAGGATAAAGGAAAATCGTACAGACGAAACCAAAATTAAGTTCTTTGGATGTAATTCTAGAAATCATGTATGAAGTAAAGATAGCGATAATTTCAAACAAAAGAACACCAGTGAAATTTGGTGGTGGCAGCATCATA